AAAAACCCACAACAACCAAATTTTGAACACTGTGGGAGAAAGCTCAAATTTCTAATTGTGTTTCTCTCAACATGGTTGAGTGTGGATTGAGCAAGGTAGTTTCGTGACAGAATTCAGGAACAGAATTTATATTGCAACATGAGGTGACCTCCGGCTGTCGTCTAATTTGAAGCCTTGATACAGAGGAAAACTGAAACTATATTTTAAGATTGATCAATGAATTAGTAACTGACAGTACATTTGGAGGAAAACCAGGCCTTGGGAGAATTCAACCCTGAAACATTCACAGATAACCTTTAGCAGAGAAGAACACAAGCCTCAGAGAAACTGGGCCCAGACAATACATAGACATAGCAATAGATAAAGGGAAATAGATACTCTATGCCCCAGACTTTTAGGCACATCCCTGGTGCATCATAGACATAGGTCAAGGAAAGATGGGGCATAATATATATTTTTCACATTTAACCAATAGATTAACATAATTGCCATTAATTATCCAATGAGGAACTGGATCCAAAGTTGGGATACAAATGACTAATAGAATTGTAGTACTTTAATGACTCTTTGTATCATAAAAAACATCTGTATACTGTATTCTGGGCGTCTTTCTCTACTTTTAAGAGAAGTCCCTGCTGACCTTTTCTTTGCTGCTGTTCAAATAAAATTGGGCCTTTGGTTCAGCTGTTTGCATCTATGCCCGATTCCTTGCCAGAGAATTTTAGAACCCAGATTTGGCTCGTAACAGGCTGATATAATGAAACTTACAGAAAAGCACCAAGCTCAAGGGTCACCTTGGGGCTAATAGATGTTTAATTTCATACAGTCTTTTAAAAATTTGTCAAGCATGTTGGAATGTTCATGTTTTCTTGATGTTCAGTAATAAATTATTTTCTTTATCTGTTCATGTTTTTTCTTTGTTTGACAAGGGGTGTGTGGAATCTGAGGAGAACTCCTAGGGGGGCTGTAGCCAAAAAAAGATTGAGAATGGCTGATATAGATCACATAAAGCGCCAGCATTATAGCTCTTAGTCACAGCAGGGTATAGGAGCAAGACAATCCAAACTTAAATACTGTATCTACTGTGCTAGAATTTTCTGTATGTGTAGTTTCAATTTTCAGGAATGCCTGCAAAAGTAGATGTATCAATGCAAATTCTCTTCCCTTTGGTTTTGGCTAGGTAGACAATGTGGGCAGGGCCTGGTATTTCAAATCAGTACTATTCACAGTTAGAAGTGTATGAGAGCCTTGTTCTCATATTTTCTCCCTCACTCCGGAACGCATGGTTGATTAGCTACTCCTTGCAGGAGGCGGGATGACGAGCCTCTCTGCCACATTGAAGAGTGGCTAATCGACCGTGAGTTTCAGAGCAATAGGGAGGGAGGGAGGAGCCCATGGCAGCAGCGGAACAGTGAGTGGATGGTCTGAACCCAGGGGGGCGGACCCTCGTTATCTCCACCTGTGGGGGGGTATTTGTATACAAATATGAATACCACCATCTCTAGTTATGATAGTAATCTGCTGTCTTAGAACAACTCTCATGAATTAATCAACAGTAAATAACAGGTAAGGTTAAAAGACTTAATAACTTCTTTATTCTTTGCTCTCTTTCTAACAAAGATGTACGTTGTCATTCTCTCTGTTGTATTCCACTTCTCTTATTCCATTTCTGTTGTATTCCACTTCTCTTATGCCTTTTATTGTCATCGTTGTTCCAGGCAATCACTCTGTTAACTGAACTGGTCCGAGAAAATTTCAGGAACAGCAAACTAAAACAGTGCCTTTTGCCTGCTCTTGGGGAGTTGCTTTATCTTGTGGCCAGCCAAGTAAGATAAGAAATTCTATATATATCTATTTATTGTAATTAATCAGTAGTATAAGTAATAGAAAGCAGAAATTAAGTAACATATGCAATATTCTTGGGAGTTAAAAGGCATTTAATATTTTACAGACTAATCCTTTGCTGAGAGTTCCCTATTTGAACATTTAAAGCAAACTAGGAATAATCTCTTGAGCGAGCAATATTTGTAAATTGCTGTAATGAAGGTTTGCAATGAAAACAAAGTTTTGCATTGCTTTCTGTATAGCTATATTTGTCCTAAGCAGAGGTGATCCAAAACTAAGATATTGGAATTACAGTCTTTTACCGTGTTTCCCTGAAAATAAGGCAGGGTCTTATATGTAGTTTGTGCCATTATATGGTTTGGAGGAATACTGCAATTTTTGAGATGGAATTGCAAGGTGATAAGTGTAATGCCTATTATAAAGAAATAATCTGCAATGGTGCCTGTGGTGTTCATTCTTGTGGCACCTGCATATTTTGCCCACCCAAAGGCACACATTTTCCTCTTGCTGCCACCAGTGGATTACCTCAATCCACAATATAAATGATGTTCGTCAGAACACTTGTCTTGTGAATACTAACAGAACTTATTTATTGAAGTGAAGCCGATTTAATAATAACAGAAGTACTTCAGATAAACATTGTACACAAGCAAATCTTTAACAGTTCTCTCAGTACATACTTTTCTCTTTCAATATCATTACCACCTCCTCCACCTATTTTCTTTACCAGCCTTATCACTCAGTATCGGTTTCCTTTCTCTCTGACTAACCAGTCTCTCCCTATCTCTATCTCTATTTTCTCCTCCTTCTCCTGCCAAACCTTCATATGGCTGCTGACTCCACCTCTGCAGCTCTCTCATAGGCTCATGCAAATCAGCTCATGACTATTAACGGCATGAGTGACGTGGGGTGATAGTCACGGTGCCTTTTTAGTGGTTTATGGAACTAGAACTGCTGGATAGCTCAGTGGTTTAGGTAAGAAGTTGGGAGTTTGATTCCCCACTGTGCCTCCTTGACAGGGGCTGGACTTGATGATACATGGGGTCGTTTCCAGCTCTGCAGTTCTAAGATTAAGATGATTAAGATTTAGAAGAATTAAAACTGACACATCCCTTTTCCAATGTCAGAACAAGGTTTGTTTAAAGTAAGGTGCAACACTGTAGAAGCCGCGGTGTCTGCATTTACTTTCCTACATGACCATATCACAGAGGCACAGAACATCTTCCAGGGTTTGCTTCAACAAGAACATTCTTAATATATTCTTCAAAAAGCAGAGAATATAGAAGGGCAGAGAAAGTAGTATAAACTAAACAGAGGAATCACTGAAAGTTGGGAAGGAAGAAAGGGGAAAGGTGGTGTGAGCCAAAAGAGAGGAGAGCTTGGAAAAGAAAGGAACGAATAAAGACTTATGTGTTAGAAAAATAGAGGGATAATTAAAGACAACATGAAAACCATTTTACAAATGTTAACATTAAATTGAAATGTACCTTTTAACATCTAAGTTCTCGACAAAATGTGTGATGCTATCAAATTTGTTTGTTTCAGGTAAGAGAATCTGGTTATTTTAGTCAGAGATTGGGAAGTTACTACTTCAAATGTAGTACAGTGGTGCCTCGCATAGCGAGGTTAATCCAATCCGGATTAACCATCGCTATGGTGAAACATCGCTGTACGGAATAGAAAAACCCATTGGTTCCAATAGGCCCCAAACTCACCGTTCAGCGAAGTAGCTCCATAGCGCACGCATTTTCGCGCCAACGGTAAGTGAGGGCAGGGCGCAAAAATGGTTGCGCCGGCCATTTTGGAGCTGCCGATCAGCTGGGCAAAAATGGGGCCGGCGCTCAGGCAGGAGGGCGGGGGAAGGCTCCCCCACCCTCCTCCCAAGCGCGCACCGGCTTTTCTCCAGGAAGCGCTTCTCCGGGAGAAACCGAAACGCCAGCCTTTCAGAAGAGCTGAGGGGCGGGTGTTTCGGCTGCTCCCAGAGAAGCACTTCTCCGGAGCAGCCCCAACGCCTGCTTTTCAGAAGAGCCGAGGGGCTGGCGTTTGGTCTTCTCCGGGAGAAGCCGTAACGCCAGCCTCTCAGAAGAGCTGAGGGGCAGGCGTTTGGACTTCTCCCGGAGAAGCGCT